TGTGTTTAGTGTCTGTATTCTTAGCATTGTTGTTTAGTTTGTGCAATTGACTTACTGTTAAGCCATGTGAGACCTACACAAACCCAGTTTTTACAATCTTAACTGTCCATTTTATTCAATTATATATTAATGTAAAAAAATTATATTAATCCAATAATTATTCCTAAATGTTTTAGTGATATTTTTATATAAGACAATGATAATTTTTTAAAATAAAATATTCATTTTTTGCATACAAATAAAAAAAACTTAAATTATAATTATCAAATTGATCTTAATTTTTTCATAAATGCATACAAACCTAAAAAAATCACAAGTTATAATTATTGAATTCAACTTTGCTACAGACCCCCACTGGGGGTCGACCCCCAGTGAGGTGGCAACCCCTCATTCGTCCAAATCACAAAAAAAAAAAAAAAAAAAAACAATTTTTTTTAAACCAATGGGAAGCTTCCATTCATGACCCCCAGTGACCCCCACTGGGGGTCTGAGGCATTTTTCTTATTGAATTATTCCAACTTTTTTTCATAAATAATCTACGACGACATAACAAAATCTACAATTTAAATAGTTAGCTTGAGAAACCTATCCTAAATCAAGTCTTCTTCCATATTATTGTGGGTTTATTTCATTCTCAACTCTAACTTTTGGCGGTATTTGAAGTCCCACGGTAGCGGTAGCAGTGGCGATGACGGAGTTGGACAGCGACAACGAGGATGATGTCGACAGGTACGGCAAACTTTCAAGTAAATCTTGCTTGGTTTGATGCAAATCTTATTTTTCAGACCACATGTTTGAGAAAATCGTTAATTTTTCCTAGATTGTAATTATTTTTTTAACAAATTTATTTTTTTCATTTTGTTGTCTGGTTGGGATAGCCTTTAAGATATTGTTTATATATATGTTTATTAATATAAATGTTTCTCATATTCTTAATATATAAAAAAGGAGAGAATATTATTAGGGATGTGAAGTTAGAAAGAGAGACCTCTCATTTTCACATTCTCGTGGAGATATAAATATGAGAAATTCTATTATACACATTTTTGAAAGGGATATGTCATATGTATTTTTAGTTATTTTTTTTTTTTTTTTGTTAATTATGATTAAAAAAAATTCAATTATAATATTATTTAATTATAACTCACGAAATATTTGATTATATTTTATGAGAGTGTTGGATTATAATTTTTTTTAATTATTAGAAAATTATACTCTTTTTTCTTTAATTATGAGAAAATGTATTGTAGTCTTTCCCTGTAAATATATATGTTTGTCATTTTCATCCAAACAATCAAGCTGCACTTCTAAACCCCTGCAAAAGCGATAAGAGAGAGAGAGAAGCAGTGGAGAAATGTGAAACAAATCTCTCTCTTCGATTCGTCTTTCCCGTCCACTACACACAAATATACGTATATATATACACATACATACAGTGATACATATATAAATCAATCACATCGCCATCAACATCGGGCATGATCTCTCTCTCTCTCTCCAAGACTCTCCCTCCAAGACTCTCCCTATCTCTCTTTTCAGCACTGTCTTCTCTTTCTCTTTCTACAGCTCTCTCTAGATTGTGATTGCGATTGCTAAGAATTTTTCCTTTTCTTCCTGTAATCTGTTGAAACATAGGTAAGTTATGTCCCCAACCTTTTCTCTTTTTTTTTTTCTTTTTTTGTGTGTATGTTAAACTAGGGGTGAGCAGCGGATATACCGATCCGTCAAAACCAACCGAACCGAACCGAACCGATCCGCTGCATTTTGGACTGATGCGTGATGACGAGCGGACGGTTGCAGATTGATTTTCTCCAATCCGTCAATTTGGCGGACGGATGGCGGATTTAAGATTCTTTTGGCCGTAACCGAACCGCCAGACCGCGAGCACCCCTAGTAATTTATAAAACTTTGTGTTTTCAAATTATTTAAATATTTTGTTTGTGTTTTCAATTGAAAATGAGTTTAAATATTCTGTTGAAAAAAAATTTCAACTTAAATATATTTTTTGAATTGAAAAAAATAAACATATTATTTATCTATATTTTTTGGTTTTTAAATCTAACTCTAAAAATAATAAATAGAAAATATTATATATGCTAGTTGGTTTTTGTTTTCAAAAACATATATAGATGGTTTTGGTGGTTTGAATTATTTTTATATTTTAAGAATCACAGATTGTAATACTTTATGTAGATGAATTATGCTATGATTGTAATATGTGGATGAGACATATAGTGATTGTGATATTCTAAAGTTTCAAACTTTCTTTCTTTGGATGAGGCATACAGTTATTGTAATACTTTTTTAAGTTATTGACTGTAATACTTTCTTTCTTTTTCTTTTTTTTTTTCTTTTTTGAGGAAGTGCACAAGTTGAATTATGTTGAAAATTTATAAAATTTTAAACCGTCAAACCGATTTACATCCATCCGCCAATCCGCTCAATCCACATACGCCAGATTAGCGGACGGATGCGGATTGATTTTCTTCAATCCGCCAATCTGGCAGACGGATGGCGGATTGGAGGTTCTGTGGCCGCAATCGATCCGCGCCCACCCCTATGTTAAACCCTAATGCTCTATTTGGTTTCCGAGAAATCTGTGGAAATAAACTTAAGGGAAAAGAAATTGAAAATTTAATGCCGTTGTCGTCAGCTTTTTCATCCAATTGATTTAGTTGTTCAAGTTTCAACTATTTCAATTTGACGGGAAATGTAAGGAAATTTGTTACTGCATTTTTTTTGTTTTATTTTATTTTTTAACATGGTTCTAAAATTCTTGGTTTCGGTTTTTTTTTTTTTTTTGTTTTTTTTGAAGCCATTAGGAAGGAAGAACTAACTTGGGTCTTAGAGGATTTCTTTTAACTTTTTCGTTACTTGAAATATTTCAAGTGCATGTGTGATTGTTGATGCTTAAATTGCAATTCTTGTACTTTCTTAGGCAAATACGTCACAAATTTGGTAACCTTGTGCTTAGATTTGCTTTCTATTTCGAAAAGATAGTGTATTAAATGCTATTACTTTTGTTGTGATTTTAAAGAATAATGCTTGGGATCCCCTTTTGGGGGTCACCCCCTCACCCACCCTTTGCCACGTGGCGGGTGGTGATTAGAAGAGCAGGAAAAAAAAGAAAAAGAAAAAGAAAATGTAACCAATGAGAGAGAGGGGGGGTCAAAGGGGGTGGGAGAAAAAGGGGGATGAATCATTGTTGGATTTTAAATTGCAATTCTTGTTGTTGCTTAGGAAAATACATGACAAATTTGGTAAACTTGTGTTTAAATTTGCTTTCTATTTCTAAAAGATAGTGTATTAAATGCTATTATTGCTATATTAGTGTGTTTGGTAACGTTTACGTTTTCAGTTTAAATTTACAAAAATTTTATAAACTGGTTTTTATTTATTTTTAGAAAAACATAAACTACAAACGCGTTTGGTAATTGACAAAATGTTTAAAAAAATTTAAAAATATAAAAAAGAGTGAGAAATGGCAAGTGGTGGCAAGTGGCGGCGGAAGACGGTGGTGGAAAGTGGTGACGGTGGGTGGTGGATAGCGGGTGGTGGTGGGTGGTGGCGGATGGGTGGTGGTGGTGGGGGTGGCATGGATGGCGGGAACTGCTTAGTCATATGATTTTGTCTATCATATATGCTCGGGCCCTAACATAGTTTTTCTATTTTACCTTTTCAGCGCTACCAATATCATCTCTCTTCCCATTCCTTTATTTCATGGTGAGTATATATTTTACCTTTTCAGCGCTAGTTTTTCAGCTATATTTCTAGCAAGTCTGTTACTCTAATTTTTTTGGATATCTTTTGTTTCAATAATCTTTAATTTCTATGTGGTTTGTTACTCAATAATATTGACAGCAGGTTTGTCCAATTTAATTACTTTATTGATGTTTATATTATTAATTCTTACAGTTTGTGCTTGAAACATTGTCTTTGAAGCATTGTGTTTTCTTAATAGGCTCACATTAGGCAGCTTGACGACTTCCTTAGGACCTTACATATCCAAACATTGTCGTAAGTATTTTATTTTTTTAACATGGTTCTGTTATTTTTGATTTTTATTTTTTTTTTTAGGAAGGACTAACTTGGGGTTTAGAGAATTTCTTGAACTTTTTTCATTCCTTGAAATAGTTTAAGTGCATGTGTGATTGATGCTTAACTTGCAATTCATGTACTTTCTTAGGCAAATACAGTGAAATAAACTTGTGTTTAGGTTTGCTTTCTATTTTCAAAAGATAGATACTGAATTAAATGCTATTTCTTTTTCTTGTGATCATAATTTGCAATTCTTGTTCTTGATTAGGCAAATACATGACAAATTTGGTAAACTTGTGTTTAGATTTGCTTTCTATTTTCAAAAGATAGTGTATTAAATGCTATTGCTTTTTCTTGTGATCATAATTTGCAATTCTTGTTCTTGATTAGGCAAATACATGACAAATTTGGTAAACTTGTGTTTAGATTTGCTTTCTATTTCTAAAAGATAGTGTATTAAATGTTATTATTGCTATACTTTCTCTTTGGTTACAATGTATTGCTTTTGAGTTAAAGCATAGTGAAAAAAAATAAATAAATAAATAAATAAATAAATAAAAAATAAAAAATTGGCTTTAGTGGTTCTTTTAAAGGAAAATTTGTCTTAACATTTACAAATCACAATATTAAGGGAAGCTGAAATGTCTTTCTTTGTAGGCAAAGGATTCCTCACTTTTGTCAGGGTGTGCTTATTTGTATCCAAAAAGACAAATAAGCCAAAAAAAAAAAAAAAAGATTTGTTGCATGAAAAACTTGCTTATTTTTGTCTACTAGGATTTGTCACTTTTATTTGTATCCAAAAAGAATTGGTCACATAATAAATTTGCCTTTTTGTCTTTGTGCCTGTGGACACCATTATTGATGATGCCTCGGTAGTGTTGTTGACAACAATGATTTTTTCTCATTACAATACATTTCTGTTGGTTTGAGACTGGAGCTGGCGAAGAAAAAGATAATATATGGAGGACAGCACAAGAAAAGATTTGGAATGCTAGAAGATTATGGATGGGAAGGCGAATGACAATGTGAATGATTCAGATAAGGCTATTATCCCTTCCTGTTGCTTGAAGGCTAGGGATCCATACACTGAGCTTGAGGCTAAATGCCATTCAACAGTTGTTTCTGGATGGTTCTCCGAACCTGAATCATGCTCTGGTCATTATTTTTATACTTCTTAGCTTCTGTTTTTTCTGTTGGACATTTTTTCCAACATCCTTATTTTCCTTGTAGTACAGGTTTTTTTATTTTCTTTTCTTCTTTGTTCGATTTTTACAGGTAAAGATAGTAAGCGAGTTTATTTCAATAACCCAATGTGGCTAGGTATATGTTATTTTTGTTGCAGTTTTTATCTCACCTATATAAATCATTTTAGCATTGGAACATATTAGAGGCCAGAAAACTTATAATTAATTCGTCAATATATCCTTGAGGGGAAAAAGTCATGCTAGAATGTATGTTTTTTTATTAGATGTAATGCAAGGCATGCTTGTAATATGATAAATTGAAATTGAAATTTGATTGTTTATAATTACGTATGCTTATATTATTAAGGGCTTGAGTAGAGTATTCTAGTGTTCCTTCTAAATGAAGAAAAAAATATATTAAAATTAAAATTGTCTTTTTTTATTTGAAATAATAGTCAGTGTTTTTCCAGATTTATTATTCGACGGCTATGGTTGAGTCAATTTGAGTTTTCACTTGTAGGAGAAGCGCACTTAATGAAAGTAGAGAAGATTTTGTACACGGATAAATCAGAGTACCAAGAAATCCTGGTTTTTGGGGTTCAGCATTTTCATCTCCTAGTAGTAGACTGTCTTTGCAGTGATGTCTTGCTTTTTGTTTTTCTGGCATTTATTGTCTTATTTATGAATTTCCTACTGATACTGGTTCTTTTATTTGCAGTTCTCAACATATGGGAAAGTTCTTGTGCTTGATGGCATTGTTCAGTTGACTGAGAAAGATGAATGTGTCTCTCAGGGGATGATAACTCATCTTCCCTTTTGTTCAATTCAATCCCCCAAAACTATAATTTTCATAAATCACGGGTTCCATAGTTCATGATGAGTTTATTGTTTCTATTTTGATTCAAATTTAATTTCAAATGACATATAGTTGTTGGCTTATTTTTCCTACGAAGGAAAATATCATAAATGCAAGTATGCCAACAAGGATTAAAAATTCTTACAGATTAAATTCAAGCCAATTATCAAGCGATTGTGTTAACGGTTCTTTTGTCTTAACGAAGAGAACTTCAAAATTGCCAAGTGTATAGAAAAGAAAAATTAAAAGAAAAAAGAGGGAAACGGAGAAAGATAATTAAGTGAACAATCAAACAAACCATTAATTTATCTCTATGCTTCAAAAAGAAAATGCATAAAATAAAGTGTAGAAAATTAAGTGCAGGAAATATAAATGACAAGAAAAATGGAAATCAATTGTCTTTAATTTGAATTCTAGATTTTTTACAATGTAGTCATGAATGGTTATTTATAAGCAAATATTTGTAGGAAAAAAATTACCTAATAACTACCTTATTCTTCCATATCCTCCATTTCATACTCCATAATCTTCCATAGCTTCCTTTAATCTCCACTTCATACTTCATGTTCTCCATTTTGTTCTCCATCATCTTTTAACATTCATTTTCACCAATGTCAAATTTTTAAATCCATCAACAGTGGTTTGATCATCATCTTTAATCATTCATTGACAAATGTGGTTGCTTTTCTATTTTAGCCATTAACGGCATATGAAAATCCTCTATGTGAGGTTTATCATTTCATAGCCTAGTGGGTTGTTTCATTTTAGCCATTAATGGTTTATGAAAATCCTTCATGGATATGTTATTTCCATGTTTTGACTTTCTAAGAATGGGTTTTTTAATCTCCCGAGTCTTATATGAAACATCATTTTTTACCATGCTTGGCTCAACAACCTACTTTTTAACCATGTTATTTTCATAAGTTGGCTCTTAAAAATGAGTTTTTTAACCCCCTGAGCCATTGATGAATTTGTTGCTAAGATTAGTCATGTGCTTGGTTCGGTCTTTCAAAAATTCAACTAAACATCATTTTTAAGGGCCGCAGGGGGTAATGTTGGCACCATAAATCTACAATTTTATTATTATTTATTATTTATATAATTGTAGAACATGTGGCACCCTCCTACTCCTTTGGAGGTTATGAGAAGTTATGAAATATGGAAAGATGATGGAGAACAAAGTGGAGAACATGGAGCATAAAGTGGAGGTTGAAGGAAGTTACGGAAGATGATGGAGTATGAAATGGAGGAGATAGAAGAATAGGGTAGTTATTATCACAGACTTGTTGAATTCGATGACCCTATTGCGATTCCTCCTTCTTCGAGCAACTTTGTGGTGCATCTATATACTCTATTTGACTGCCTTTGCTGTCTTGAAGACAACTTGCTTTCTGCATGGTATACTTCTACCTTGTCAACCAAAATAGTCAGAAAAACCCCTTACCCAATCAAAGCTTTGGGAATGAGCCCCTCACTCTTAGCCAAGAAAGCAAAGCATTGCTCTTCTGACTGGCTTGAGTGTGTATATGAGCCTCAGTTTCCACCTTTTTTTTGAGGGGACCCAAGTGCTCCTCTCATTCCTCCTAATCCAGACTAGATTGAGGAATTAAAACTTGCTCTCTTTGAAAGCCAGCATTTCGCTTCCTACCAAGCTCCAGTTCCTCCAACTGTTTATCAGCAGTATAAAGCCCAGACGTTGCTTACTGCCTTCTCTCATTTATCTTTTGTAGCCCTTCAAGATGATATCCTTCACAAGAACTTCCTATGGGCTTGTGACATTATCTCTCGAAGCTATAATCTTAATCTAGTGGCCACCTTTCGTGACCAGCTCCCTTTGCTGTTTAATTGGCACAAAAATGCCTTGGCCACCTTTGAATCCCTGGAAGAGATCTCTATTGTTCACATCCAAACTCAATATGAAGCAGAAAATCTTCTTAAAGAGTATGACGATTTCAAGAAGTCTGAGTCAGAGTTTGGAGAAGATGTTGATATATGTAGGATGGATGGGATAGATGAAATGGAGAAAGCCTTAAAGCAAACAGAATTTGAAATGAGGGCCCAACAACTTTTTCACCAAATAAGGGGTCATCAATTACATAAGCCAAATTTAGATAGGATAAAGGCAAGGTTGGAGAAAGAAAATGTATTTATTGAATTTTGTTGGACAAAGTTTCATGACCTTGTAACCTTGTCTATTCCTTATTTTTACAAAACTGAGAATGTAGCCAAATAGGCCCCCCAATGCACACATTTATGTTAATAAAATATGGATTTCTTTGCTCCAATTACAGGGTTTCGTACTTGCTTAATATTTATGCCTTTAATTTCAAGACTCATATTTAACAAATACTGGCTTCAAAGTAACCCATTTCTTTCAAAACCAAATTAAGTGCTTCGAAGTACACTTTATTTCCTCTAAAGAGAGCAAAAATGCCCTTCGAAGGAAATTCTCTTGATAGAAAGAGAGACCAGTGGCCATACTTAACCAGTACTGGCTTCAAAGTAACTTACTTTTTCCCAAACCACATCAGGTACTTTGAAGTACACTTTCTTACCATTAAAGATAGTAAAATGCCCTTCGAAGGAAGCTTTCTTGATAGAAAGCCTAACAAATGTACTTTCCGTATCTTCGAAATGCTAATTAGCTCTTAAATCCAAATGGGTCAAGTAAAACCGGGGCATGTTTTCTAACTCATTGTTTCTTTTGGCTTAGATTGGATTCCGAGGTGAGCATTTTTGTGCTTTAGCATATTGCATGCGTGTGATTGTTACCATGATAAGCAAGAATACCATGAGGCTAAGTGCTTAAGTTCTATATTTATTTGAATGCCTGTGGATGAAGGCTAATTTCTTGAATTGGAATAATTTGAGTAATGTGCATATGAGATCACTTTTTCAAGTGGTACATATTCGAAACAATTTTCAAAAACATACATGAAATCAAAGGTAGTGTTTGGTAGAGTTTTCTAAATATGATTTGAGAATAGGAGTTGTAGTTTGAGTTTGTGAGTTTTGGAATTATGATTTGAGTGTGGAAAATTTGTTTAGTGAATGAGTTTTGAAAAGGGTTTTGAATTGAGTGGGAAATTTTTGATGTGACATGATATTTGGTACAAAAACTTACAACTCATAACCAAACACACAACTCAAAATTCTATTAAAGCTCATAAA